CCCCCTTGGAGGGTCCCCAGGACACCACGCTGCTCTTCGAATCCCGCTTCGAGAGCGGCAACCTCCAGAAAGCCGTCAAGGTGTAAGAGAGAGGGGACTCGGGGGGGTGGGGGGACAAAAGGGGGAGATGGTGGCGGGTCCAGGAGCCGGAGCGTGGCCCGTCCCGCCGTGCAGGGGCCCCTACGAGTACGTGCTGAGGCTGCGGCCGGACCTCTACACCGCCAAACACACCCAGTGGTTCTACTTCCGCGTCCAAAACACCCGCAAGGACCCCCTCTACCGCTTCACCATCGCCAACCTGGCCAAGCCCAAGAGCCTCTACGGCCAGGGGCTGCGGCCCCTGCTCTACTCCCAGCGGGACGCCCAGAGCCGCGGTGTGGGCTGGCGCCGGGTGGGGACCCACGTCCGCTACTACCGGGGTGCGGAGGAAAAGGAGGAGGAACCGGCCACCTTCCGCCTCTCCTGGACGGTGCGGTTCCCCCACGACAGCGACACTTGTTTCTTCGCCCACTCCTACCCCTACACCTACTCCGACCTGCAGCGGTACCTGGCGGGGCTGGCGGGCGACCCTGCCTGCTCGCGGTACTGCGCGGTGCGGGCGCTGTGCCGCAGCCTGGCCGGTAACACCGTCTACCTGCTGACCATCACCAGCCCCGCCGGCACGGGGGCGGCCAAGCGGGCGGTGGTGCTGAGCGCCCGCGCCCACCCCGGGGAGAGCGGAGGGTCCTGGGCCATGAGGGGGTTCCTGGATTTCCTCCTCGGCCCCCACCCCGACGCCCGGCTGCTGCGCCGCCTCTTCGTCTTCAAGGTGGTGCCCATGCTCAACCCCGACGGGGTGGTGGTGGGCAACTCCCGCTGCTCCCTGGCGGGACGCGACCCCAACAGGGCCTACGGGACGGCGCTGCCGGGCTCCTTCCCCGGCGTGTGGCACCTGCGGGCCATGGTGGAGAGGTGAGGAGGGGGGCACGGGGAGGCGGTGGGAGGGTGGTGCTCTCCCCATGGGGGACGGTGGTGGCCGTATCCGGGTGCACGCAGGGTGCTGGCAGAGAGGGAGGTGGTGCTGTACTGCGACTTCCACGGGCACAGCCGGAAGAACAATGTCTTCATGTACGGCTGCGACGGCGGCGCCGGGCTGCGGCTGCTCCAGCGCGTCTTCCCCCTGATGCTGAGCAAAAACGCCCCCGACAAGGTGGGATCATAGAATCATAGAATCATAGAATGGTCTAGGTTGGAAGAGACCCTTGTGATCATCGAGTCCAACCATCTCCCCTACTCTACAAAGCCCTCCCCTACACCATGTCCCTCAGCACTGCATCTAAACGGCCCTTAAACGCAGCCAGGGATGGGGACTCCACCCCCTCCCTGGGCAGTATGTGTGGGATGTTCTGGAGCTGGGGGAATGGTGTCCTCACCCGAGCTTCACGGTGACATCGGGGGGATGTCCCTGTGGGGTTGGGGAAGGGGAAACGTCCCCCCAACCCCGTTGTGCTGACACCGGGGCCGGCCCCAGTTCTCCTTCCCCAGCTGCAAGTTCAAGGTGCAGAAGAGCAAAGCAGGGACGGGCAGGGTCGTCATGTGGCGCATGGGCATCTCCAACAGCTACACCATGGAGGTGGCCTTCGGCGGCTCCACGCTGGGTGAGGGGCCACCGCAGGTGCCGGTGTCCGGTGTGTCGGCTGGCGGGCAGTCCCCGGGGGGGGAAGCTGCTGCTTCTTTCCTCGTCCCTTGTCCCCTTCAGGCGGCAGGAACTCACACTTCACCCTGGAGGATCTCAAGGCGCTGGGCTACCACCTCTGCGACACCCTGCTCGACTTCTGCGACCCCCATCCCGCCAAGGTGGGCTCATGCCGCGGTGCCCAGACTGGTCCCGGTGCCACGGGGGGGTCTGTGGTGACCCTGGCTCTGTCCCACAGCTCCAGCAGTGCCTGTCGGAGGTGGAAGCACTGCTGCGGCAGCGGCTGGGCCGGGAGCCGGGCTCCAGATGGAGCGACGTCTCCACCTCGGAGCTGGAGTCCAGGTACAGACTGAACCAGGGACACCCCCCCGAGTCCTGGGGGGCAGCGGGGGCTCAGGCAGTTGTCTCCCCCTCACAGCACCAGCGGTTCCGACAGCTCCGTGTCCGACGGGCCCCCCGCTCCCCTCCACGGCACGGCCCGGCCGGTGAGTCACCAAGTGCCACTGCTTTTGGGGTGGGAGGGATGAAACACTGGGAAGAGGTGAGGTGTCGCGGGGCGCAGACACCCCAGAATCGCTTTGCCATTGGCGCAGCCGGAGCAACGGAGGAGGAAGCAGCGTCGGAGCCGGAGAGCGAGGAATGCCCTGCACGGGACAAACAGCGCCTGCCAGAGCCGTGCCAGCGTCCCGGTGAGCCTGCAAGCGTGATCCACCTGGCCCCAGAGGGGACAATCCTGCAGGGACACTTGTCCCCAGTGCTGTCCCAGCCTGCTGCCAGCACCCCTGGGGCTCCAAGTGACTCTTGTGTCACCCCCAGGCCAGACTGGGGACCACCAGGACCCCCAGAACCCCAAGGGGACGTGGCACGGCGGGAGAGAAGCCTCGAGCCAGCTCCAGTGGGACCTTTCCCAGCGTGGCTGGAGTTAGGGACGGCCGCCGTGCCACCATGAGGGGGTCTCAGCTGGAGGGTGGCACAAGCGCAGTGTCACGCCATCGGCTGCCACTCAGCACCCACCACCTCAGTATCACCGGTGATTCCTCAGGGGGTACAGCCCCAAGAACTGAACCAGGGCCATCCCGGCGGCGGGACGGGCAGCAGGGTGGGCAGGCGGCTTCTGCCCATGGACACAGGGTGCGTCCTCCCCCCGCCACCCCCGGCAGGGCCTCGCTGTCTGCCACCCCGCGCTGCTGGGCCTGCGCTCGGGATTAAAGGCGCTGCCATGGCCGTGCCTCTGCCTGGTGACACCTCTTTGCACAACACCATCCCTCCCGGGGCTCCCCCTTTGGCCCCCTGCCCTCCCACCTGCCCAGAGGCTGCTGGCACCCAGCCCTGGGCCCTGCCACCATCACGGTGCCCTCAGTCCCTGCAGTAGTGCTGCAGGCCCCACTGCCACGGTGCCACCTCCTTGGTGTCACCTCAGGCCTCCTCAAGGCGGCGTGGTGTCGCCTCAGGCCCAGCCACCGCGACAGCATCACAGAATCACACAGAATCACAGAGTCTTCTAGGTTGGAAGGGACCTTAAAGATCATCTTGTCCAACTGTCAACCTGACTGACAAAAATAGACACCCACACAACAAACAAGGAGC